TTGACTTAATGACCTTTACATTCCAAAGTACAAGCAGTTATAGAGTTTAAATCCCACCCAGATTAGGCTGCAGTTTGCCTCTGCTGCCTTGAATGAGTCATGAGTCATGGAATCAATCTTCCTTTTCCATCAGGAGTAAAAATCCAGGGAGGGGAAGAGAAATGAGAAAAGCTTCAAAGATTTTTTCTAAGAGTATGGATCAAAGGAGAAGCAGGATATTCAAGAAAGGACATGTGTATTACAAGTGGTGCATTTTGAAGGAAAAAGAGAAAACATTGCAGTCTCTGCTCTTTGTCCACAAACAGACAGCTTAAACTGACAATAATAAAACTACCCTGATATGGAACTTAGAAGCAATCAGAGATTCCCAGAAGAAGAGGGGAGGGGGAGAAGTGTAAGAAGTTTTCAGAAGGGTAATGCCCTCTTGGCTGGGATCTAATTTGCAAATTCAATGAAAATCTGTAAAAGACTTCTAAATAAACTTGAGAGCAACAGCCATAATCAGGAGCATCCATGTTGCACATATCCATTTCCATTTAAATCAATGTAAGATTTTAATATGTGGAGGACAGTATGTTGTATCCAATTCTAATTCAGGGTCCAAAGTCATCCAGAGATACAGAGCTCATCCCTAAATGATAGGCTTATATTTCACTACTCCTCACATCAAAATGAGGTACAGCCTTCCTCAGGCTGGGACACAATAAGTGAATATGAAAATTTAAGAAGATTTTAGAAAAATGTTTTCTTACCCAAACCATACTACAAAACCATATGAAACCCTAGATTTAAGAGAGAAACCCCTAGTAGAAGAGCTATAGGGAGAGAAAAGACGGAAATAATCTATTTTAAAAAGCTAAGTCACAACTACTGTTGCTGGGGAAGGGAAGGAAAGAAGGAGTGGAGAAGGTTCCATCTCTGAAAGATAATTGGGAAATACTACTAGAGAGGTGTTCTGATTAATAAACAGTAAAGCTCCAAGAACATGAAAACTCAAATTACCAAGTAGCACAAATATGTTCTCTAAGATATTGCTCTCTTATTTCTTTGAAAGAAACAAATGGAACCTATTGTGGATAGATCATCTTTTCATATAAGAACTACACCCAGTGTTTTTTGAAGACTCTAATAGCAATCATGGATTTGGAAGAGAACTTAGAGATAATCAAATCCAACATGACTCTTAAAGAGATAAAGAACTTAAGTCCTGAGGCATTAGTCATTTGTTTTCAGTCATTTAGCAAAGGGACTTTAATCCAAATCTCCCCTAAACCAGGCCAGAACCCTTTCTACTACACTGTGCAACCTTGAAATTGGGAGGGTCGGGATAAGAATTGCAGTCTTGCCCAAGCAGAACAAGGAAAGGGGAAATGCCACACAGAAAGTCAACAAAAAGTTCAACAGCTGTTCATCATTCTTAATACAAAGTGACTGACTCAACTAATCAAGTCCTGTCCTCTTTACATGTCCTATGTGGAAGCAAACAGATTGTGTATACTCAATACATATTAAGCCTTCAACCACTTCAAAGTATAACAAGACCTTAAACATGTTTCCTAAGTCTCCAGCACCAATGAGTTTGAGGCTTTATAAATATCATGGTGAACAAGAAATGCTGTCTTGTCACATTCAAGCCAAATAACAGCTGGACTTTAAAAATAAAATTTTGAAGGCATTTGCCTTTTATATTTTTAATTTCTGTTTTCCTTGCTTATGGTTTTGTCATTCGATTTTGATGAGTGGTTAATACACAGGCACAGCTGCCTCTTTTGGTGACCTTTTCTTCACTGACTCTATGCCCAGGGCTATGAAGAAGGTCTACAAATTGCTTACTAAGTGATATTGTCATTTTCATGACTGGGAAACATCTTCCTGGGAAGCCAGATCAAACAGGGCCTCATTTTCTGGACTGACTTAATTTAGTCACTTCAGAAGCTAGACAGGAGGGTGCTGGAGGAATGGAGCGAGGGCATAACCCCTTATGCTACTCCAAAGCTGGAGGGAGTTTGATTACTCAAGGATGAAGGAAGGGGACCTCCTGAGCTAGAGGGACAGAACTCACCTGCCACCTCAGCTTCCCTAAGGAGCTCTTACTCTGAGTTTTCTGTAGAGTGCAATGAAGTCCTACTCTTCTTGGTAATTTCTCTCAATGATAATAATGTTATATGTATGTACATATTTCCCTTTTACTTTTCTGTCTTCCCTCACTAGTCCATGAGATCCAAGAGGTCAGGGACATATCTATTTTGCTTCCCATGGTTTACCCAGGATCTACTTCAGGGACCTACACACTATAGGCACTCAGAAATGTTGGTTGGTTGCTTTGCGGGACCACAGACTTGTGAAGGAGCAAAATGTATTTTTCATTATTCTGATTCTTCAGTTCCTTATAAGTTTTCCGACTAAGGGAAAGAGGAAGGAGCAAAGTAGACAAAGTATTATGTGTACCTGTTATCTACTCTGACTTTAGTATGAACTGCAACTCTAGCAGGCTTTGCAATCAGCTCGCACTTGAACAGATGCCAGGAAACAGCCTGAAGTCAGCAGAAGGCTGCTCCCCCTCCCAGCAGTCCTCACAAAGGCACCGCACTTCTGTCCATATTAGAGCAGGTAACTTGACTCCATTCATGAACTCATAGTCCCCCAAAAGCACATGAGGTCTCAATGGCAACTCTGGGCAAGCTTCTGAAGGGAGGTTTTCACACGCTTCTTAAGCTCCTGGGCCACTACAGCCCTTCTACTGTTACACCTCAGCAGGCCCTGCTGCTGTGTGTGACGGAGTAACATGAGAGCTGCCTACAGCATGACCTGCTATATTTAGGGAGAGGAAATGGGCCATACTGAGGAAGGTCACAAGGAGTTTGTTCAGAAAAACGAAGCACTGGCATATTTATCAGTACACATAGTACATATAATGGCAGGCTGAAATTTGAGCCTGGCATCAGATCTCAGGTTTATCCTTACTAGCTATATGACTACACCAAGTTACTTAATTATTCTCAGCCTCAATGTTCTCATCTATAAAATGGAAAAAATAATAATGCCTTTTTTGTGGAGTGTACAAAAATTAAATGAGAAAGTGTGTATTTAAAAACATTCTCTGGCATGCGAGTGCTTGATAAATGTTTGCTTAAAAAAAGTAATTAGAAAAATCGGTTTGGATCTAGACAATCTGGGTGTTGAATGGAATTTCCACTGATATTTTTACAAAATATGTTTCTCTACAGTTCAGTTTTAATTTTTTTTCTCTTATAATGGTTAATAACTCCATGATTATTAATTTGCCAAGCACAAAATATCAACTTGATTATCAACATTACAGAAAGGCAACTGACTATATTTTTAGCCAGTATACAACTAATTAGGAAACCAATTGAAAAAGGGTGAATGGTAGATTAAGTTCATTAAAGCAAGGGTAAGGTAGTAGAACTCTATAACTCCTAGCCTGTAGCTAGACTAAGTACTCCAAGGTGATAAAAATATTTATTTCATATATATGCACAAATATTTAAATGCTCCACAGTATGATCTTCCAACAAGATTAAAATGAGACAGGCCTGAAACACTTCTTTGAATACTTTCAGGCCAGCTACCATGTCTGTGATGCAGTCAGTTGGTTAACTATGCAAGTCCCATCATTTGGACTCCATGACTCCCTACACAGAGGAAGCTCAATCTTCACCTATAAAACACCTGCACTTCTGAAGGACCATGAAAACATCATGTACTCTTGAAACATACTCTTCAAGGAGGACAAGTATAGTTCTAGTTTTGAGTCCTTACCCCAATTCCTACTCATCTTCCTCTTCCTCTTTCTCTCCCTTCCTTTCTTTTCCTTTCTTTTTGTTCCCCACACCCTCCCTGCAGCACACACACTCCAATCAGAATTTATTTTAACACCTTGCCCTCAGGACTATCATCAAACATTAGCCTCTTCTACTGGTATGAAAAACCTGCCTTCTGGAAACTCTCTGAAGTGCTTCCTAATGTCTCTTAGTGCTTGTGCCAGGGATTTCTAAACTGCCTGGGAAGGCCTGGTTCAGATGCTGCTGTGAAATGTCTTCATGTATTTTCAAGGGATTAGGGTCCTGGAAGAAATCCTGCCAGTAAAAGGGATACTAGTAAGATTCTTCCCCTCAAGCTAAAAAAGGATTTTAGCAGGGACCCAAGATGGGTGAAGTATCGCGTTACTCTGAAGAGAACAAATTAATCTTCCTTGACTGGTGGGACAGATTCTGCCAAAGAAACAGCTAACGGGAAAACCAGTCCCAACTCTGTGATGACACAGTAAATAACCAGGCAACATTACTACCGAAGTGCTGACCTAACCTATAAATTGTACCTGGCCTCCAGGGAGCAATTTCTGCTGATGTGCTGCTTGTGCATTTAAGACAAACAAACAAAAAAGGAAGAAAGGCAGACAGGCATCGATGGTGCTGTAGGTAAACATTCTCAGAAGGTGGCTCTTTCCACCCAAACTTTCAGCAGACTTCAGTGATGGTTAGTGCCTTCAGTGATGGTTAGTGAATGGTACAGGCTGGCCATTCCTAAACAACTGAAAAGTCTGTGCCAAATTTGCTACAAACCAATGTTTAGTCCCCCCAAATGGTTTGACTGCACTAGGAATTACTTGATTTGGAATTAAGAGAAATACAACTCCTCCTTTGTTTCTTCTTTTTCTCCCCCACCCCCTTAACAAGAATGCACTGAGGTGGATGAAACACAGAAGGCTGTTGTTCATTAGAATGTAGAGGGTCTTTTTATTTTAAAATGGCAAAATGGCATCTGGGAGTACTTTGATTGCTATATATTCAGTAATATAGGATCTAGCAGCTTCTCAAAGTCCTCAACTATCATGTATACTGAAGACCAACATTTCTTCTCTTTGCCACAAATCTAGCTGGTGACTCCCAAGAAAGGCCATGAAAATCTTACATCCTCCTCAGACACCTTCAGAAACACACAGAGTCACAGAAAAGAGCTACAGAAAAGATACTCACCCTCTGCATCTTCTGGCCGAGTAAGGTCGATGACACCTGGGCCCAGCTTTCCATCTTCATTTGATTTTCCTGTTAACTGGGGCCCCAAATTCTCAAAGCGCGTTCTTTCCTAGAGGAAAGAATAATCAGAGGCTTATTCTAGCTTCCAAAGCAGCCACTTTTTTCCTTCCAGTTTCTATCTTTCGAAATAGGTAGAACTTGGATTTGCAAACATGGTTTCTGATCCATTTGAGTTCTGAAAAATCTTTTAGGAACCTTCTTGTAATGCCTGATGTGGCACTGAGAGCAGTGACAGCATCTAAACCATAATAGCTTTAAGGAAAGTAAACCTGAAATGGGAACCTGCCAGAGCTGCTCTGCACATCTCTTCTGTATTGGATTTGTTCCCGTAATCTAAAAGGAATGTAATCGAGAGAGTTGAGATACGTGTTCAAAAACTTGAAAGAGCAGTTCCTATTAAAATACACTGCTACATTTAATGGGAGAGGAATTTTCCCACTTATAGATCATACTTTGCATTGGTGTTCCTGGGGAAATACAAATTAGAATTTTATGCACTAGATTTCAAAAATCAATCTCTCAAAGCAGGTAGACTAGATGATGGCATTGAGACTATTGTTTTGCCTATGAGTTTCACCTGTGACTTCCTGGGAACTGAAAAGATGTCACACCCAGCCAGTCAGGAAGCCAGGTAAGTTAAATACCCTGCCCCTTTAGGCCAGAGGAGCTTTGCATGTTCACCTGTTTTCTAGGATCAAGAGTCTGACAAAGCATCACAGCGAACAGAACTCTACAGCTCTCTGGATCAGTGGCAGAGGGCTCATTGACCATCATTAATATGGTGTTCTTGTCTGCAGAAACCCAGCACGTGTCCCCCCTCTCGCCTCCTTTCTACTCTCCAGACTCAAACTTGGCTTTGTGTTATGCTTATGAATGAATGAAACCTTGTTGTTCATTACTATGAAACAATATTAAATGTCATGTCAGCTTGAATTTACAGACATGAAATAGCAGCTTCCAGCTCCGGGAATGGTTTCTGCATGTTATACTTAATGCATTATGCAGCAGTAGAGTGCTGATTGCTGTTCAGTCTATTGTTCAATGACCTAGTTCTGTACTGAGCATGTTCGGCATTAGATGGAAACACTCTGAGTGTTCTCTTCTCTAAGATGTTTAGAAACTTGGAAATATTCTTAAAGAGCAAACATACAATTACTTGATAGAGGCTTTGCCTCATTTGTACAGTCTCACTACATTTGTGCTTTCTAATATGATTATTTTTGAATATCATTATATTTCTATAATTAATTCCCATCAGTCAAATTGTGCAGGAAGTCTTCCAGTTCCCCTTCATCATGGAATTTGTTGAAATCCGTGTTGGAGGAAAACACAGCATAAACCTTGCCTTAATCTAGCACCATTTCCATGAAAGATTTGCAACAAAAATTATAATCATGAATTTGTTGAACTGAGTAATGGTAACTTGTTTTAATAGCAGTATGTGGGGAAACCTCTGAAAATAGGACACTTTTTAAAAAAGACAGAAGGAAAATAAAAACCAAATCAAGTACAGTTCCCTAATATCTTCTTATGCGAAAACACTGTTGCCCAAGAACAAATTAACCCAGATGCAGGACACAACAGAAAGCAACCACAAGCCATGTGGGAGTTTCACACATTGTCAGGGGAAGGACAGCTGCTTTTAATCAGCCAATTCCTATTTTTGAGTAGCACTTCCAGTTGTCATGATGTAAAGAAAAAGAATTAAAGTGAAGATGAGTAGTATCAGGGAAAGCAAAATATTCAACCTTTGTTTTATCACATTGTTTCGCATTTGAGATATTTGCATGTGAATGCTTTCCCTATGTTAAATGCAAAAGGAGTTTTGATGTGACACCTGCAATCTTCTTGGAAGAACAACCTTTAACTGTATTTTTATGGGGGGAAAAACAACTTTCTCTGAAAATCAACAGACCGTGCTACCTATCAATATGCATATTTCAAGTATCTTTCTAGTCATTCATTCTCTTTGATTTTACCAGAAAATATTCTCAGTAAAAAAAATAAAATAAATAAAGTTCCTGAAAGAATATCAATATTTTGACAAGGAAGGAGAAGAGGGAAAATTACATGCCATGGTTTGTAAAATCCTAAGACAACAAAGCTTACATGATGATAATATCTTTTCTTTTATAAAAATGAAGTGCACTCACAATTCAGTAGTATCAGCTTGTTTTTAATCATAACAAAAAACATTCAGAACATTCAACAACACATTCACAGTGTCTTTGAAGTCATACATTTTTCTGACTTCATTGAAAAAAATTCTTTTGCAAAGATACTTTCCCTATAAAATATCAATATTTTGACAGCATAGAAGACAAGGAAGAATATTCCATGAAAAACTCGTTAAACAGGCAGAAAATAAATCAATGATAAAAATTGTTTGGGGCACTGGGTTGCATTTTAAATTTGATAATATTAAGCACTGTGTTTGAGATTAAAGCAGGACTCTGCAAAGCCATGCCCTTTCATATAAATTCCCACCTCGTCTCCCAGAAGATTTTCTTCTTTTCTTCAAAGAATAGCTCAGAATATTTATTTTCCAGCCACATAACCATAAGATAAGAGGGCCTGATGTCTACAAGTTAGGTCTGGGCAGCTGAGCTACGCAAAATTTTACCAATGAGGTTGAACACGAGCCTAGTAAATACAGGATGTGAACATGAACAGAGAGATACTTTAGTTCCAAGAAGTTTAAACTTCTGACCATTACATGCCAATGGGTACGCCCCTACATGGAACAAATATAGACAGTGGGTGGCAAGTTCTTAAGTCCAAATTTCTGCCACACACTTGAACCAGACCTCACAAGGTACATAGCTCCCAAGTAGGATATTTTGGAAACATAAGAAAAATACCTCAATGCTAATTTAATCCTGATACCCCACTTCCCCATCTTTATGTTGACAGTGAAATGTACATTTTACATGCAGCAATGTGATAAGACACTTACTTATGCATTGTCAGTCACAAACATGCAGTCAACATAAAAGTTATTGAAAAAATTAAAGTCAGCTCTGCCGTGTTGTTGGACTGTTGGCTCTCTAAGTGCTTTGAAATTATGATGTATGAGGTAGATGTTGCATATTAAATAAAGATATTTAAATGATAAAGCCCCCTTTAGTGAGAGCTGATGAATGTTAAATGTTACAAGCCACAAGATGGTAGCATCCATCATCTTCACATATTATCAGAGTCAATGACGGGGCAGCTTCACTGATGACAGATAGACTGCTGCATTATTATCCCTTATTTCCAGAGTCACTGAACAAACCATTCAACTCCTCAGGCATTATTTTTAACTTTGCATTAAATTAGCAACTTTTCCCTCCCTACCATGGCGAGATTGATCAATTACGTCTTTGCATCAGTGGAGAGAGAGAATGGATTTGGGGTAACTAAAAGACCTGAGGTTTGTTTTCATCTAGGGAGAAAAAAAATCTACTTCCTCTTACTTGCAACAAATGTAAAATTGTGATCCAGGGAAAGAACAGCAATGAAACAGTAAGCACACAATAATGGCTTTTCTTTGCACTTAGATAAAAGCTGAATTTTTGATGTGCACAGTATATTTTAATAAAATTTTATATACTATGTTTTATACACTTATTGGCTATTCCATAATAATGTGTGTGCTAACAGTAAAATTGCTCTTAAATTTATGTGTGTTATTTATACGTTCCCACGTAACAATGCTTTTTGTTGTAAAAAATATTCTGTTTATTAATGTAACTTTACAACCACTGCATCCAAGATCCGTGGTAAATTAATGACATTTTTATTATTTTATAGTGTCATTAAATTTTTACTGATCACTCCATCAAACAGAGGCAGTAAAGGCCATAATGTAAACTGGGACACTTAGATCAGGCAGCAGGAAGACATTCCATATAGTCTGAAGAAAACTGCTAGCAATAAATGATATTTATACCATCTTTAAGCATGTGAGAATACTTGGATAAGTTTGGCAAAACTGTTTCAGTAGTAGAGTGGATTGTGTACTTAAATAACAGTTTGCTTGCCAGCGAGACAAGTCTTTTTCAAACCATATGCAAGATGACTGATTGCAGCCATCGCCTAAAAAACAACACACCAACATAATAATGTGCTGGGCACCTTTACTCTGGATTTACCAAAACTGACCAGCCTACACCCTGCCACAAATTCTGTAAACAGGGTCCCTTTTTATATAATTTGAAAGGGGAAAATGGCACATGCTGAGAGAAGCTTTTTTTTGTTGCTTTGCAAATATATTTAATTTAAGTACACATATCTAGACAATGATGGGATATATTTTATGCCAATGGCCCAAATGAGAAGCACTGTACCAACCAATCTTTATTCAAAAGCTTATTTCTAAGGAATTTCTGAATATGGGGTCATTCATAGCAGCCACACAACAAATGATTAGGGGGTCATTACCTATATTGTTGTTAAAATTAGTAAAAAATAATCATCTTGTATTATTTTCATATGTAAAATACATTATAATTAGGATGCTCTCTACATTGCCTCTCTTAAATAAACTTAAATGTATGTTATTAACTAATTGCCAGATATTCTATTTATACAGATAGAAGACAGTAAAAACAAAATTCTATACTCACATAATCATGGATTTAGTAGTACCTATCTTCTAACATGGAGAATTTAGTATGATTCTTTTTAAGTAAACAATATTTTATTGTTACATACCTAAATACACATTTAAATATTAAAGACTTTCCCAAAACTTTCAAATTTGTAATAAGGAATTTTGTAGGAAAGATTAATACTGAAATCCCATAACGTTTTTTGTGTACTCCTGAAGCAGAATTTTTGAGAAATAAAAAATACGTGTATCATGAATAGAAATTCTGTAAGGCCACCACAGATAGTGTTTTCAGATAGTGTCTATCCTCAAAGTTTGAACTCTATCTAAGTTATTGAGTGCTTGCTGAATGAAGTCTTATTATTTTCATACCAGCTCCAAACTTCAATCTTTCTGGACATCTGATTTCTACTTGTATATTTTAGTGGATCTCTGACCCAAGAAAATGCTTTCCT